GGATGCTTCATTATCATTTGTTGAACATGGTATCGCTGTTTTGCAGAAGATTTTCCTGTTCACATGCATTATGTAAAATATGAACTTCTGACTTCTGACATTCTACATCCTGAAACTAAGCATTCCATTTCTTAAAATGATGAAAAAGTAACCCTAGACTACATGCTTAAATCTGACTATATGGTTTGGTTTCTATTGGTTTCATTTCATTTCGCAGTTTACATTTTATTATTTTGATGAAAGAACAGTTACATGGAGTTGTCTGGTGCGCGGACTAATTTAAATATTGCATTATAACCACCTTACCCGTAGATCGATTATCAATTTATTTCTTTTTCGAGTAGTATAAAAAAGTATGCTTTTGTAGATCTGTACAATGAAATAAAAACACAAAATTGCATCTAATGTTGATTATAAATGACTATTAATAACGAGAATACATAGGAAGGCTTTTCTTTCAACGGCGATTTTTCTCATGCTCTTCAATCTTCCACCAATACCATACTTCAACTATTGATAGATATTTTGATAACGAACATTTAACAGAAATTTTATGTTGGTGGATGCTTGTGGAGGCATTTTATTTGATTGTAAAAATTATGAGATTTGGATGACTTTTGCCAAACTATGTCAATATTATGTCATAAATATGAATATAATATAAATTTCGATTGTAACTGCATGTTTTATTTTCTAAACTTTCATGAAATATATGGAGATAACGAACAGTATTCAAGCTCAAAAGTCCATTAAACAATACAAAATAGGAGCAGAGCAAACACGGACCTCCAAACATCAGAGGTGGGATCAGGTGCCTTGGAGGAGTGAGCATCCCCTGCCGACCGGTCACACCCGCCGTGTGCTCCTTGTCATGATCGGGAAATAACGGAAAAATCCGTCGACAATTCAGTGTGTAAATAATGGCCTAAGAATTGGTATGAAAAATGTCAGTCAGCATTTGATTCAATGATAAATTGTATTTCCTGACAAGGTCATTGTATCGACCATAGAACTTACGAAATGATGACTTTCAACGAGACAGCTGATATTCTTGTTTCATCAACTTATTTGTCAATAATTTACCTCGTTTTAGAAATTGTACATACGTAGAGCATGCTCTTGCGCATCGAATCAACTGAGAGATATATACCTCGTATGCAGGTGATGAAGGTATATTGCTGCATAAGTAAGGGAAGTTGACGATTGAAAAGTTAAAGTCATCACGTTTATCATAAAGCTTGGTTGTTAGATTACCATAAACGTCTTTTTCAAGTAAAATATCCAAATATGAAACAGATGTGTCAGACTCTGTGGTATAAATAAATAAATCATAAAATAATGTACAAGTAAGAGTTTGTTCTCCTAACTTGTTACAATGTGTATTAGGTTGACAAGTCCTCTATGCACGTTTACGAAACATACGATCTTCGCATAATCAATTAAGAGAGAAGCTCTTCAAGAAGAACTACATGTACATGATATACTTTTCATACAGCAGTATTCTTTACGCCGTAGAGCACTGCACCTTATAGACCAGGGAAAATATCACTGATAATTTTTTGATTTGTTTTTCATCATAAATTTATTTCAAGAAACGAAGAAAATTATTTAAAAAAAAATTATAGCCGGAATTAAGTAAAGATGCCGCAATTAATATCGATTGTAGATCTGTAAGTTTATTTTAGCTTAGCAGGTAAAGATACACATGAACTTTAAAAAAATAAATCTCTCTCTCTCTCTTTCTCTCTCACTCTCGTAAAAAAACGGACTCAAAATAAATTAATTACCCCTTTAAAATGTAAGCATGAAACCTTGCCAATCAATAATGGTCCTCCTGTTATTTAAGGAAAATTATGGTCGTATCTAGACTATCGGAGTAATGAACATATCACGCACGTAACATCGTTTTGGGGAGGGAGGGGGATCCAGTAAAAAGAAAAGCAAGAATAAAATCTTTCTTGAAAAAAATGTAACGAGCAAGTAAATGAGATTTAAAAAAAAGTGGCCCACTCTGACTCGAGAACTAATTGCGATTATGTCAATGTGTGTGTGTGTTTGGGGGGTTGGGGGTTGGTTGAATGTACATTTTCATATTATATTAACTAGAGCACGACTATTGATTCTTAGGGTTGTGGCGCATTTTGGAAATAAATAATCCTCATTACTTGGTAGAAAATTTATATATATAATGACTTCAAGGGGACAGGTTGACAGTACTTATATCGTCCTCACTTAGGAGTTTTAGAAAAATTGTAACAAGAGTTTAAGTTCTGTGTGGCGCCATCGTGATCGAAGCAAGATAAAACACTGAGAATGGTAATAATGTTTCGCCGCCTCTCTCCTGGTCGATTTCCGGTTACCCTGTTTGAGTTATTTTCTTTAAATGTTTAGAAGAAAAGTGAATTTTACTTATTCTGCAAAACAAAGATAGCTTCTGTTGTTTCAACAGGGGGTGGGTGGGGTGGGGGTTCAGCCCAATTGACTGATCAACTCAAATTAGATAACAACTATGACAATTTATGTTAATTTAAGATAGTAAATATATTTTCAGACTATATAATTATTAAGCTATTTTAGTTGGAAGGGGGGACAACGTTAACCAAAATAAAAAAAACCTTGCCGGGCAAGAAGTGTCATTAGACATTATTGAGATGACAAGTTCAGTTGTTATGTTAAGTAGCAGGTTTTTTCCTGTTTACTGTACATTATATATACATACGAGGGTTTATACAAAAGTAATGTCACAACTGCTTTAAAATCTTTAATTATCAATTGCTTTAAATTGAAAGATTAACTAGTTGTTTGTCTATAACCACAAATAATCTAAATTCCTACGATGCTGTAATGTCTCATTTCATGGACAAAATTCTATAAACCTTATCAAGAAGGGTTGTTATACTAAAAGAAATTGACACATGTATAGCAATTCTTCATCATTTAACATTGCATCAAGTAAACTATATAGATAAAATATCCCCCCTTTTTGTTTTTTTTTTTAAATATTGCTTTAATGTAACTAATGCAGTAATGAACAGTCAGAAACATTTCTGAACGCAAGATGTTGCTGTGACAACGATTAGATACTGTAATCATCGTAATGCTGTAACAAAGGAATTTTTAAGCAACTTGAAAAATTCTTTTTTATTTTCAATGTCATTGAGTATGTTTAACTCAATGACCAATAATGAATTTAATTGTGTGCATGTTATGTAATCAGGCTATTTTTTAACGTTACTGACTTAGTAATGGTCTTAATTTTATGGTTTAATTTTCTTCCAATATTAACCTCCTCCAACAATTTGATGTTGTTTTTGAAAAACAGACACGCACAGTATATAATCAGCAAAATGTAATATATTTCTGAGATGGGTTAGATTTTTGGCATTTGGAGCCCCTAGCTCATTGAATCTACACTACCCGAGGCTGCTTCCAGATCCATGTGAAAAATTTTGGATTTGCTGCTTTTGAGAATATTTGAAGATCTACTCTTCATTCGAGCAAATTTCAATCCCCTTCATCCATAGAAGTTTTGCGAGAAGTTTGGTTGAAACTGGTCCAGTAGTTTTGGAGAAGAAGATGAAATTTGAAAAGTTAACGACAACGACAACAACGACGACACAACAGGAAAAAAATTGTTAGAAAAGCCCACATGAGCTTTTGGCTCAGGTGATCTAGAAAACTTTCATTGTAAATTTGCAAGACCATATTAATTTATGTAGGCAGAAAAGTAAAATTCTTTTATGAACCTTTCTAAAAGATGTCGCATTTGATTTTTTTTTTTATTGAAAATTTAATTTTAATATTTTTATCGACAATTCAAGGATACAAACCTAATTTCGCACATGCAGATTGTGAAGATGATAGCAACTATTAAAATAACAGCAAATCCCACTGCAACTGAAACATATATGAAACGTAACAATATGAACAGATATAAATATTGTTATATCCAAGATATGGTTTGCATTGATTGGAGAAAAGTACTTCATCCTTCCCTTCATTTGTTTAAATATCTTCCTTTTCTTTTATCAATATTTTTTACAGCGAAAGGTAAAGAGAATGACGATAATTAATTAATATAGTTTGTGATATAATATTACAGTTTAAAACATGTATAAAAATTAAACAGTAGGGAACATTCCCTAAACAAATAAATTATGAAATGAAAAACCTAAGTTCATATGACTTCATCTTTTAACATGAAAAGGTATTAATTTTCACTCAGAAGTCCTATCACTTAAAACTTTATGTTAAAAAATACCAAAAAGAGTAATCAGATACTACCGTACTTACGAAAAAATGCTGTTCGATATAATTCAGGGATTGTTGGTGGACATCCAAACACTATAATACGTAGACAATAAAAAAAACTTTATCAAGCATTGGTTTTGCGAAAACAACAAAGAATATCATCAAGCAGAGTTGTTTTCGTGATATCCCTTAACTTTAAATTTACAACGTTTGAAAACAAAATTATTTGGAATAACATTGGAAATATTTGCAAAACATTTAAGCTAGTACATAGGTAGGCAAATTGTTTCCTAAAATGTATTTTCTTTTAAAATCTGATATTTTGTTCTAGGATAACAAATCTCTGTGTGTAATATAAAATATTTCCTTGCCAAAACAAGTTTGAAATATATTGAAATATAGCTTATCTGACCCCTATCAGAAGAGAGGAAATCAAATATTCGACATTAAAATGTTTTGTTAAAAATAAACATTTGATAAATTGCAGATATTTGTGATACTATCTAAAAATTAAATCTTTTTGCTATCAATCTTCAGTGCAATATATATTGATACAGGTATATTGGAGTACCTTGTGATGTCGAAATAGAAGTCCCTTGGTATGCTACAATTTAAAATATCTTAAAATGTTTTGATAAAAATAAACATTTGATAAATTGCAGATATTTGTGATACTATCTAAAAATTAAATTGTTTTGCTATCAATCTTCAGTGCAATATATATTGATACAGGTATATTGGAGTACCTTGTGATGTCGAAATAGAAATCCCTTGGTATGCTACAATTTAAAATATCTTAAACTGTTTTGTTAAAAATAAACATTTGATAAATTGCAGATATTTGTGATAATATTTAAAAATCAAATCTTTTTGCTATCAATCTTCAGTGCAATATATATTGATACAGTTATATTGGAGTACCTTGTGATGTCGAAATAGAAATCCCTTGGTATGCTACAATTTAAAATATCTTAAACTGTTTTGTTAAAAATAAACATTTGATAAATTGCAGATATTTGTGATACTATTTAAAAATCAAATCTTTTTGCTATCAATCTTCAGTGCAATATATATTGATACAGGTATATTGGAGTACCTTGTGATGTCGAAATAGAAATCCCTTGGTATGCTACAATTTAAAATATCTTAAAATGTTTTGTTAAAAATAAACATTTGATAAATTGCAGATATTTGTGATAATATTTAAAAATTAAATCTTTTTGCTATCAATCTTCAGTGCAATATATATTGATACAGGTATATTGGAGTACCTTGTGATGTCGAAATAGAAATCCCTTGGTATGCTACAATTTAAAATATCTTAAACTGTTTTGTTAAAAATAAACATTTGATAAATTGCAGATATTTGTGATAATATTTAAAAATCAAATCTTTTTGCTATCAATCTTCAGTGCAATATATATTGATACAGTTATATTGGAGTACCTTGTGATGTCGAAATAGAAATCCCTTGGTATGCTACAATTTAAAATATCTTAAACTGTTTTGTTAAAAATAAACATTTGATAAATTGCAGATATTTGTGATACTATTTAAAAATCAAATCTTTTTGCTATCAATCTTCAGTGCAATATATATTGATACAGGTATATTGGAGTACCTTGTGATGTCGAAATAGAAATCCCTTGGTATGCTACAATTTAAAATATCTTAAACTGTTTTGTTAAAAATAAACATTTGATAAATTGCAGATATTTGTGATAATATTTAAAAATTAAATCTTTTTGCTATCAATCTTCAGTGCAATATATATTGATACAGGTATATTGGAGTACCTTGTGATGTCGAAATAGAAATCCCTTGGTATGCTACAATTTAAAATATCTTAAAATGTTTTGTTAAAAATAAACATTTGATAAATTGCAGATATTTGTGATAATATTTAAAAATTAAATCTTTTTGCTATCAATCTTCAGTGCAATATATATTGATACAGGTATATTGGAGTACCTTGTGATGTCGAAATAGAAATCCCTTGGTATGCTACAATTTAAAATATCTTAAAATGTTTTGTTGAAAATAAACATTTGATAAATTGCAGATATTTGTGATACTATTTAAAAATCAAATCTTTTTGCTATCAATCTTCAGTGCAATATATATTGATACAGGTATATTGGAGTACCTTGTGATGTCGAAATAGAAATCCCTTGGTATGCTACAATTTAAAATATCTTAAACTGTTTTGTTAAAAATAAACATTTGATAATTGCAGATATTTGTGATACTATTTAAAAATCAAATCTTTTTGCTATCAATCTTCAGTGCAATATATATTGATACAGTTATATTGGAGTACCTTGTGATGTCGAAATAGAAATCCCTTGGTATGCTACAATTTAAAATATCTTAAAATGTTTTGTTAAAAATAAACATTTGATAAATTGCAGATATTTGTGATACTATTTAAAAATCAAATCTTTTTGCTATCAATCTTCAGTGCAATATATATTGATACAGGTATATTGGAGTACCCTGTGATGTCGAAATAGAAGTCCCTTGGTATGCTACAATTTAAAATATCTTAAAATGTTTTGTTAAAAATAAACATTTGATAAATTGCAGATATTTGTGATACTATTTAAAAATCAAATCTTTTTGCTATCAATCTTCAGTGCAATATATATTTATACAGGTATATTGGAGTACCCTGTGATGTCGAAATAGAAGTCCCTTGGTATGCTACAATTTAAAATATCTTAAAAGAATATTATATATGTATAAAGTGGGGAAATCATATGTTCAAATATCGTTAAATAATCTTATTTTGATATAAATATTTAAGTCAATATCAAAGTGTTTACAAGTCTTATTCATTCACATATTTCTGGATTGTTCTCTTGCAAAGAGTGCCTAACTTTTTACAAAATATAAGAAATGAATTTAAGATAAATGTAGGATAAAGTGATACCATCTGTGTTTTCCAACGGTGCAGGGAATTCAGAATATAAGTATTTTACACCTACAAAGGTAAACGAGAACACTTTAAAATGAAATATTGGAATAACGATCAGTTATCTTACACTAAGGTCCAATAAAACAATAAAACGTGTGAGTAGAACAAACATGGCTCTCTGATATCCTGAATTAGTAAACATCCCCTGTCAACTGGTCGCACACGTAGTTTGCTCTTTGTGATGATTGAGGAAATCGAGAAATCTATAGTCAATTCAGTATGAAAATGGTCTGAAAATAATGGCATAACAACATGGATGAAAGACGTCGGTCAACATTCGATCTAACGAAAGACTGTTTATACAAAAAAGGTTATTGTATTGAACATCGAGTATGCAAAATGTTGTTTTAAAATGAGATTGTTAATACCTTGAAGTTTGTACCTTCAACTTGTTTGTCAGAACCCTGCCTCGTTTTTAAAAATGGTTCTTACGAAGAACATGCTATTGGTATTGAAGGACATTTAAGAAATAAGACGCGTATATGTTGGTGATAATGGTTTAAAACGAGGCAAACTATTGACAAACAAATTGACGAAACAAGGATATCAACACTCTCGTTTGAAGTAATCTTTTCGCAAGTTTTTCGGTCGATACAATGACATTGTCAGCACATACACCTATCATTGAGTCAAATGCTAACTGATACTACTTGCTAACTGATACTACTTCATACTAATTGTTAGGCCATTATTTATACACTGAACTTTCTACGGATTTCTCCGGCTTTTGATTCCCGATCATGACAAGTAGCACACTGCGCGTGTGACTCGTCGGCAGGGGATGCTCACTCCTCCATGGCAGCTGATCCCACCTCTAAATTTTGAGGTCCGTATTTTCTCTGCTCCAAATTTGTATCGTTTCATTGAACTTTCGAGATTGAATACTGTTTGTATTCTTCTATTTCAGCCAGCATTTTAAAATTTCATTGTGAAAAGGTATGTAAAAAGCATGTGTTTTCTAAAAAAAAAAAGAAAAAAGAAATAAACAGTAATGAATTGGAATCCGTTACGATCGATTGGTCGGTAAACCGGTTAAGCGTTGACATCCTAGAAGAAACCAAAAAATATACTTAAGACAATAATATGCACTGTATGTTTATCGTTTCAATATTTTTGTTATATCAGTATGTGGAATGAATTCATAATACACAATTCATCCTCTGTTACATTCCAGAGGAACTGGCTGTAACAAGTAATAGCAAGTTTAATCACCTCAAATGAATCACCTATTACACTGGGGCCAAGACATGGTGAAAGAATACATGCAAAGCAACTCATTCCATTACTTTCCATGGCTTTGTTATTAATAAATTTACCGCCGAAATACTGCCGATTCGGCTTTAAGGAGGTTGGATCCTGTCATCAAAAGTAATGAGAATTTTTTGTCAAGTATATTTTTAGAATCTACACACGTAGCTTAATTAAAAATTGAAACAAAAAATGGGGGTCAATGCGCTTCTTTTGGCGCTACAGGGCATTTAGTTTGACCTTTTTGCACTGTAAATACATCTTGCACATGATTCAATTTTTAAAGTTTTCCTTCCAATATTTTTTTATTCAAATAAATTATTGGAACAAACACAGTCTTATATCATTTTGAATAGATACATTAAAATTTGTGACAACAAATTTTTTTAAAATTACTTCGCATGTTTAATTATTTGACCTTTTTGCACTCAAAAATATCATTTTTCTGGCATTAAAAATTTTAACAAGCAATAAAATCATTTGAAAGTAATGACATTTTACTGAATTTAAGTAGAATGGTTAAAAATATCTTATATATTCAGAAAATAAAAAAAAAAAAGTGGCGGCCTGTGATGTTAATTTTTATGTAATACTAAAATAGTGCTAATTTTAAGCAAAAGTTAGGGTTATTTTTCTGTATTTTCGCAATATATTTGCTATATTTATTAAATATGATGATAAAATTCATAATAGTTTATTTAATACATAATTTAGGACCAGCATGAAACAGTTCACGGCACAGAATAACTCTGTGTGCAGGCTGCATGGAAAAATAGGAATCCAAACTTAACATATTTCAAATACTTCGAAACAGAAAAAAATGATCATTTTCTTCTAAAAATCCATCCGCCACAAGATATAGTTCCTCTTTAAATGCTTTTGGTATGGAACTTAATCATGGAGTTTTAACTGAATATCGTTTTATTGGTATTGTAGAATCCAAATTTATTGTAAGAACTAAAACATTATACAGAATTTTTTAAATATAGGTTAAGACAAAAATCTGCTCAAAAGCTGAGGAGCGAACCTCGTTAAACAGAACATCGACCAATCAATCAATCAATCAACTAGTTTGGATTGTTATGTATTGTTTGACTTAGTTTGGATATAAATGATAGGTTGTATGTGCTCTAAAATATTAAGAAATTGTAGACTTTCTATGAAATTCATATATATATATATATATATATATATATATATATATATATATATATATATATATATATATATATATATATATATATATATATAGATATAGATATATATATATATATATATATATATATATATATATATATATATATATATATATATATATATATATATATATATATATATATATATATATATTTCCTTCTGCAATCTCTTTATAAATGTGTATGCTCATTTGTATCACTTTCAAGAACATTTCTGAAATTTTTGCACGAATGAAACAAACTTTATGCTGAAAAACATTTTCACTTTACTTCTATTAAATGAACGCCCTTCTTAACAAATGTTATAAATGAAATTCCCTTTTTCATTATTATTCAGAGATGAAATTTTGTTTTAATTAGCATTCAGAGAAAAGAAAATTACCTTTTTTGTTAACTTACATTGATAGATGGACCTTCCTGTTAACTTTTCTAAAGTGTCGTTTATTTGCAGTGCAATAGAACTCCATTTTATCTGGGGACATTTGGAACCAGTGCGATTTTCAATAATCTTCCTCAAACACAACACTAAATTTATTATATAGCTGAAAAATGTGCAAATGACTCATTATTTAATACAATATTTAAAGATTGTTTCATTTAAAAATATTGTGTGGTAAGCAAAAAATTGTCACAAGTGAACCATTTTATTTTAATATTTTTAGAATTAAAGCTGTTATCCTGACAATTTTTTTTATCTTCAGGCTTGATGAAAATTTGTCTTAATGCAATATATATATATATATATATATATATATATATATATATATATATATATATATATATATATATATATATATATATATATATATGTAAGTCTGTTTGTGTGTGTATGTGTGTGTGTGTTTAAATGATGCAACATCATTATTCTATTGTTAATAAATAATGTGCTGACCCACAGTATCCTGTACTTCTTGGAATAGCAGAAGTACACTGGTTAGCTATTTCCTTTGTATAATAGGACTCATTAAGACACGGCGTCACTGAAGAAAATATATATAAAAAAAAAAAAGATCCATACATTATATGATTATAAGTAGCATTAAAACAGTGTTATCATCATAGTACAAATTATACTGACCACAAACTTCCACCCCACAGAGTTCCCAGCGGACATCCGAGTCATTGGTGAATCACCATGGCTCCTCTCTGTCGAAATTTCTACAGTAGTTCTCTTCTGCAATGCTTAAAACATCATAAGTGTGTTCATGTGGGGTCTGTACGTCCCATCTTTGACACGGTTTACCTGTCTCTGTTACGTTTTTGGTTCCCTCATATAATACTCCTGGTAATCGACAGTCAGTTGAGATAGATTCTGCTTTAATTGTTTAAAGAATAAAACTGTTGTAGCAAAAAAAAAAAATCATTGATCGAACATCATAATTTTTTTAAATTAAAAAAAAAATAGAATAACACAAGATTTCGACTTCTTTCTCAACCTTAGCAAATTTTCTCCCATTATCCAAAAAATTACACTTGCTTTTTGTATATTTTTTTTTCGTGCCGTTAAGTTTTAAGTGCCGCATGTACATGTAGGAAATTGACAGAGACTAAGCGTGATTAATGAACACTCCTGGCGCAAGTATATATATATTAAGATAACAAACAGTATTCAATGTCGAAAGTCCATTGAAACGATACAAATTTGGAGCAGAGCAAACACGGACCTCAAAATTTAGGGGTGGGATCAGGTGCCATGGAGGAGTGAGCATCCCCTGTCGACCAGTCACTCCCGCCGTGTTCTCCTTCTCATGATCGGGAATCAAAAACCAGAAAAATCAGTGTTTAAGTAATGGCCTAACAAATAGTATGAAAAACGTCAGTCAGCATTTGACTCAGTGATAGGTTGTATGTGCTGACAATGTCATTGTATCGACCGAAAAACTTGCGAAAAGATGACTTCAATCTCTTGGGTCAACTTCAAAAGGTCAAAACTGCTGGTATTTAAAAGAAGCATGTCATAAGAAAAAAAAACTGTGAAAAATGAAAGCCCTAGTCCTAACTGACCAAAATAAATGGCTATGGTTAAAGTTAATTAAAATGTGGGTCAAACTCTGAGGTCAAGGTCAAAAGGTCAAAAATATGTATACCCATGGAAAAGTCTTCTCACAATAAATTCAAAAGAGAAATACATGCATGAAAGTCCAAGCATTAACTGTTCGAAAGTTGATGCCAAGGTTTAAATTTAATTTTTTTATTTTTTTTTTTTTTATTTTTTTTTTTTTATTTATTTTTTTTTTTTGGGCAAAAGTGGGTCTACTCCAACTCAAAAGGTCAAATATATATCGGTACTCAAAGAAAGGTCTTGCTACCAGATATATAAATGTGAATTACAAAAGCAATAGCTCCGCCTAATCAAAAGTTATAGACAAGGTTAAAGATCTTGCGGACAAACAGACAAACAGATTGACGGATAGGGCAAAAACGATATACCCCCGAATCTCTAATCATGGGGGCCTAGAAATAAAATCGAACAAAGATTGCCTTTGAAGTACTTAATATTATACTCTAACTAGCAGTCATGTCGCTTTGATTATTAATAAATAATTGTAGATATTTAAAGGAGACATGGGGTGATTATTTTTATAAGTAAAACAAACAAGTGCTCTTTTTTGAATTAAAGTCAATTAGTTTTATTTGTTTTCCTTTAACCTAGGAATTTAGTACCAAAAGAAATTATAGAAAAAAAAAAGACAAAAATAAACGACGACTAAAAGATTGTAATACATATGATGGTAATACATCCAATAATAATAACATGAATCATCATCATTATCAGTTTTCATAATCTACTTTTAAATAAAAAACAAACAAGACTTAAAATAAGGAATACCAGCTGCGTTGATTATTGTAAATCGAGGACTTTCATATGATATGTAAGATATTTCTATTTCTATATATTAATAATGTGACTTTTTAAAAATTAAATACGAGTAAGACATTTCACAATCAACAGGATTATAAAGCTATTGCCTGTTATACTGACAAGATAAATTACCTGTAACGGAATAGAAAAAGGTTCCAATAAGCAACCTTAAAGTTATCATTTCAGTTTTGTTCCATTACAGCTACATATTGAGTTGATCTCTATCAAGAATGAAACATATTGAAAAGCTGAACATGATTAAGACGGGATTTAACTTCCTTTCTTTGTATACTCTGTATATAATGATGAGAAAAGGGGATGTTAGTGATCTTTTAGTATTTCCTATTTGTAATATTCTTTTTCCTGTAAAACTGAATATTACTAGACGTATATTTTATATGCATAGCTTTAAAGCAATAGTCAATATTTAATTTTAAAGAGACTTTTAACTTCTGTTACATCAATAGGTATGTCATAAACCTGGATCGGATTACGAAACTAATCAAAGCTTAAAAAGGGGCTACCAAAAATTTTCCATCCTTCATGTAAATAATATATTTAGGACAATTAAAATAGATTCAGTTCATATTATATCTAAAGTTGCAGGTCAAATTATTTTGAATAGATTGCAATATTATTCAAAAATATATCTGTAAAACAATTCGGAGTGTATGTTTCTGTAATAAACATTTATGTTCTCCTTTTAATGATTACAGTTATTATTGAGTGATGAGTCACAAAATATTGAAATCAATAAATATATTTTTCAATCTGTACAAAAATTTATAAGAGATTCTGGTAGATTCAATTAATCATTACAGCTTAACACTAATACTCTAGTTAGTTATATATCACGTAAAGAATGTATGTTTAAAACAAAACATGTTTGTATTTGTTTTTTTTTTTTTTTTTTTTTTTTTTTTTTTTTTTTTTTTTATTGACATTGATAATTGTAGCCATTTATGGCGAGAACTTCGTAAGTTTTTAGAACTTGTGTTCAAACCATTTGTATACTATTTATACAGTAATATATGTTCAAATCAGTTATTATTCTATTAATTGTGATTAGGAAAAACGACCACTTTCTTCGTTAAAATCAGGTTTCTGTAACATGACAGTTTTCAGAATTCCTAGCTTTAAGAATTTAGAATGTCACAAAGAGAAAAATATAGACAAATTATTAACAACTTATTGTTAAAGATAGCAATTTTATGAGGAACATGGTCATCACACCAACAATTGATAATTATTTCTTATATCAGAATTTCAACCACTGATAATATATTTGTTACCTCTATTCAAAATGAAAAAATATCCCCTCTATGCATTCCAAGGTTTGTAAATGGAAAAATATAGACATATTATAGTTGAAGTTAACACTTTAGTATGGGAACATGGTTGTTTATCAATTTGATCAATTTGATAAATATTTATTGCACCAAAAATCTAATCCTTCTAATGATGATATTTGGTACCAAAATTCAAGTGTTGATCATTGATAAATTTCAAGAGAGAGAGAGAGAGAGAGAGAGACCTTCCGAATGAATTACAAAGGTTTATTATATTATACATTATATAGATCAATTGATTTTCCCTGTATTTACATAGACACCAAGATTTCAGTCAGGAGTTTTTTGATAATAGATATTGTAATTAACAATCATGTAATAAAGCAATGTTTATTAAGTTTTGTTTGAGTCATTGGTGTGTAAATCATACAGATTTGTCACGTAGGCATATTGTCAAGTAGGCATATGTCAGGGAGCGCGCTAGTTATTCACACTAAACTTAAAAACATTTTACATTTTACATGTTTAAATGCACCAAAAACATACTCAATGTTTGGATTTTCGCTGCCCTATATCTTTATATTTCTATTAACGTCTCTGTAGCCTCATTGTGACATTACTTAAGCGTGTATATTTCTAAATGTGCGTATACACAAAAATGGCTTTTATGTTAATTTTGCAGTTGACTTAGTAGAAAAACATAGCAAATGTAAATATTTGATTATGAAATCTTAAACTAAAAACTCTACAGTGCCTTTATATGGAGCATCTGAAACATAATCCTCCAACATGTTCATCTTCTTCATCCTACAACTATAGTCCTACTGGACACGTCATTACTGGTGACGTAAATATAGTTAATAATGAGGACCTTATATCACTTATTATAAGAGAACCAAAGTTTAGGGAACCTCGATCTTTCAACTGGCGTCATAATTTCATAAATATTATGAATTTTATAGAAGATAGCCAGACAATGGGCCAAATATGAAAAAGGAGAAATTGACACTTTGTCAGAATGGATGAAAAATATCGGATGGATGTGGAAATCTTGCATTAAGCGATTAAGGGGCAATATGTAAACAATCTATACTTCTGTCTTCGGCAATACAGAAGTGAACCAAGAATGAGATAGATTGCACGATCAGTATATATTTGTCCCAGCTGACCAAGCCGGTAACAACATATTCTCTGTTTGTAAGGCTCAGTATTTGAATTGCATTTTGGAAGAACTTCGATTTTATTCTGCAAGTGATAATCCAACTTACATCCATAGCCCGTTTTCTAAAAAAGAAATATAGGGTTACCTGGTCTTTCAACTGGCGTCATAACATCAAAGATGTTATGAATTCTATTTTAGATTACGCCTATACGATGTGTCAAACATGAAAAAAGACCTTGACACTTTGTCACATTAGATTAAAAGTATTAGATAGATGTTGAAATCTCGCTTTAAGCGATTGAGTGGCAATATGTGGTAATCCTTTTCAAGATAATGCAAATCATAAATGCTGTATCAGTGTTTTTTAAGGGGGGGGGGGGTAAATTTACCCCGTAAAGTCTTGCTATAATCAAGAAATAATGTTTGGTCATGCTTTCTTGGCTGGGAAATTTACCCGCTAGATACTTCTTATTTTCAAAGTGTAATATTTGCCCCTTTTTCGAATAATATAAACTTTTTTAGCAATATTCTTTGAGAGAAAATTTACCCCGTAGATTTTTGCTATTTTCAAGGTTGCATCTAAGTGTATATTGTCTGTCCATCAGTTATAATTTTACTGATTGTGGAAACATCAAAGCAAATGTATACTTAATACGAGTGTTACCTGTGAGAAGAGGATTCATTACGGATACATGAATGCGCAATGTTTTTGGGTAAGATGATTGTCCTACGAAATGAAAGTTGGAATTTTTCTTTCGATGATAGCTTAAAAACAGATATATATATGTATATGCAAAAGTTCGAAACTTTTAAAATTGGAAAATTTCCAACCCAATTTATGGGCGCGCAAATGACAACAAACTTTTTTACCGCTTTAAAGACAATTCTTTGATTATACAAGAAAAATTAAAGAAGAAAGAACTTGATGAGGACACTTCTAATAATCTTGAGAATGATATTGTAGAATATGAAATTTTACATGTACTTAAAAAGTATAAAATAATAATAACTTACCAGGAAATGATGGTTTTACTGCTTATATCTTAAAATTCTTTTGGATAGATCTGAAATGTTATATTTTAAAAGCAATTCATTGTATTTTTGCAAAGAAAGAACTTCCAATTTCACAAAGACTTGGGAATATCTCTTGTATTCTCAAAGGTGATAAACCTAGACAGTTCTTAAAGAATTGGCGTCAAATTACTTTACTAAATGTCCTTATAAACTTATATCTGGATGTCTTAGTTTTAGAATAAAGTCTACATTAGAAACTATTATTTCTGATATTCAAACAAACTTTATTAAATGTAGTTACAAAGGGAAAATACCAGATTGGTTTATGACTTAATGTCTTATACAGAGTCAAACAATATACCAGGAATATTAATGCTTACTGACTTTGAAAAAGCATTTGACTCAATTTCATGGTCTTTTCTTTAGAAAGTCTTGAATTAATTTGGCTTTGGAAGAAAATTTTTAATTGGATTAAGTTTCTAAATACAAATTTTAAAGCATCAGTTTTGCAATGTGGATATTTATCAGGACAATTTCTTGTTCAGAGAAGTTGTAGACAAGGAGATCCTGTTGCTCCCTATCTGTTTCTCCTTTGTGCCAAAATCTTGACGATTCTAATCAAACAAAATAGTGACAAAAGAGGTTTTATTGTAAATAAAAAAGGACCTATTTTGTCAAAGTCTCTCAATATGCAGATGAAACCTCACTGGCCCTTGACGGTTCATCCAAATCTTTGTTTGCTGCTCTCTATACTTTGGATTTCTTTTCACAATTAACGGGTAAAAATAAACAGTTCAAAGACAAAAATTATTTGGATTGGTTAAAAAAAAAATGCAAGTCAAGTTTATCTTTATTCAAGATGGAAACCGATTGGGGATCCACAACCTTCACTTTGCTTGGTATAAATTTGTCAGTAGATTTAGAAATTATTCCTGTTATAAATTACAATTTTTTTTTTGCCTAAAATTAAATCATTGATCCAACAATGGAATAAACAAATACTTACACCTACTAGTCGTATCATCATTGTAAAAACTCTTATTTTGTCAAAACTTACTAATTTATTTGCTTCTCTTCCTACACCAAGCAATGATAAAATATCTTCATTGTGTAAAGACCTCTTTGAATTTATATGGAAATGAAAGATTGATATATATAAAAGGGATATAATTATTCAAGATTATTTATCTGGAGGATTAAAGATGGTAAATGTGGATTTTTTCATAAAATCACTCAAATGTACTTTGATATTCAGATTGGTAACAAAAAGTAATAAATCATGGCTAGACATATTTTTGGGAATGAATGGTATTGATATTGTAAATAAACTTATGGATTTTGGTGATGCTTTTATTTCAAATATTCTAATGCCTCAGAACAACATTTTTTGGTGTGGTGTTTTTACTTTATGGCAACATGCTTTGAAAAATGTAGATCATGATGTACATATAGAATGCAAGGCTTGTTATATTCCTGTATGGTATAATTCTAACATAAAAGTAGATACCACGAGCATTTAAAAAAATGGTATAAAATGGAGTTCAAAATATTGGAGATTTCTTGTAAGATGATTGCCTATTTCCATCAAAATCTATTTTCTGAGAAAAATTTAACATTACATATGTAAGCTTAATGCAGTATAATAGCACTGTCTATGCTATTTCAAAGATATATTTCAAAAATCTGTCCCTAGATAGAAAGTCTTTGAAATTTTAACAGATTTACCTGTTTATTTTGAAAATATTTGTCAAAATGAAAA